TACATTTTCAGACACTATTTGGAACGAACTGTGAACACCCCAATTATCCCAGTGTTTAAGAATTTTAGGAATATATCGTCCACAATGCCACCTATCGTGTACACTTTTAGTCTCAATTGGCTGAATTGTATTCTAAATATTAGCCAGATCGGCAAGAAAATGCAGTTTTTAGGGATATTCCGACCCTAGCGCCACCTGGCGAGTGCATTTTTGGTCAGAATCCAAAAAAGTACTTTTTACAGAATTGAAATCAGTTCAGCCGTTTGGTCAGGCATCGCCGTCACACGAAAAACATTTCATTTTTACATATATAGATTGGCGGAAAAATATTAGAATATAAATTGTTGCATATATTGTGAAAATTTGTTGTGCCAATACTTTATACATTTCTAAACTTAGATTCTAACAGAAGTTTTAACAGCTCATTGCCGGAATCTACATACTCTGAAATACTGTTGTTGAAATTTCTGAAAAGTTGCTCGTTGATTCCGATGAGCATCGAGCTAATGGGAGAAAATACATCGGGTTATCAATACCGGAACCAACATTCGCTCTCACTAACCTGTCTAATGGATTTCCTGAAGTGTTTAGGATTGAACAAAGTGTTGTATGAATTGTAAAAGCACAAAAGATCTCCATTTTATTGAACCTTGTCTTTTGTCGAGCATTAGGGATGCCTTAGATAGTAGTAGGTTCACAGCTGGTTAATTTTTTTTATTAAAACTATTAGAATGAATACACATTTAGGTTTTAATTTTTGAGGCTTAAAATATGCTTTGAAAAATTCTACAAATATAGCAATCCTTTATCACACCCAAATCCGGCGCTGTTAGGAGAAAAATTAGTTTTTTCTTTTAGCTGACTCTTTGATATTAAATTTTGGAACGCGATCTTTTCTAGCCAATATTTTAATAGAAGATTCATCAACGTTTATGTTGCTGGTAACGGTATTTATGCGACGCTCAATAACACCAACGAAAAGTTTCACATTATGCATTGTCGATACAGTCTTAGAGCACAAAACATTCAAGATGGGTGCATCGTTGCAGGATAGAAGTCTAAAAGTGGAATTTAAGATCAAAGTGTAAAAAATACATAGTTTGTGATACAAAAATCTCTACAGATAAGGCAATTTAAAAAAAAAAAAGCTAAACAAGAAAACCATTTCAATGTACTTGAATATATCCAATATACCCTGCAACATTTCATCCAAACTCGTATGTAGCATTAATTTTCTTTCATTAGCCTCTGCGGCTGCTACTTCAATCTTCTCCAGCTCACTATTAACATAATACAAAGCTTCGGTTTTCTGCTTCAACTCCTTTTCTTCGTGTTCAGCCTTTTGACGCTCTGTGGGAAGTAAGAAACTCACTTTCATCGACTCAGCTCCTGTGTTGTATCATTCAATGCATCCACCTCGTGACTAAGCTCATTGACATAGTTAAAGAGTGCGAAATTTTCCTCTTCTTGTCGCTTGAATTGCGCTGCCAAGTTATCTGTGTCCTCCACTGCATATAACTCCTTAATATCATCTATGATAGCGTGATATTCCTCGAGCTGCCTTTCGTAGTTCTCTTTCAAAGCGAGTTTCTGGTTAGCCTCACGTTGCTCCAACTCGGGATTGAGACGCTTTTGACCTTTTATGTCAAAGAATTTCTGCAGCTTGGCATCGTGTTCCAGGCGGCGTTGCATTTCACGCATTTCCTATGGGAGAAGGGGAAAGATGAAATGAAAGGGTTCCCTGTAAAGGTTGGAAACTTGAGCTACGAAATGTATAGGTAGTTCTGAATTTTTTAATTATATGGAATTAAGAGCTTACCCAAGCCATTTCAAAAGTCAAAATTTTACACATAACACATAAAAAAGAAAATACTAGTGGCATACCTACCTAGCCCAATGTGTTGTCAAGAGTTTGGTGTTTGAATAGTCTTTTAAAGTCTTTGCAGTTAGAAAACTTCAGAAAATAGTATATATGTATGGATATATTTTTTACCTGTATATGCATAAATTTATCATTCTCGCAACGATCCTTGAGCACTTGTACTTTGTTGCAGAGCTCCTCGCGCAAATCAAAGGCTACAGTTGATTGGTCTATCAGCTCCATAATATATTTTTCCCCTCATTGAATTGGGTTACCATTGACTGCCACATCTCGTTGAAATTTGCACTAAAACGACATAAAATGAAAGATATTGTTGAGAGCAAATTAAGAAATTATCTTAAACCAAAATTTTTTCTTGTGGATAACAGGAATATAAAAACACTTAAGAGTGTCCACTATAGTCGGCACTGAGTAAGGGCTGAGCAAACAGATAGACACCTCGAAATTCTTAGAATTCATCGACAAGCTGGGAGACCGATGCAATATAGAAAAGATGAGGGTCGACGATCTACACATAGTTAAATCGCCGTAGCAGCAGCTTTTGTTAAGATAAAACCTAAAATATTTCGGGAAGTAGAAACGTCTTTCGTGATTACCAATTTCCACCGTCAATTACAGAAAAATCTTGAGGAGCATAAATAACCTATGGTAACTAAAGCCAAGAGCCTCAACAAAGTGCCCAAACAGCCTGTCGGCAGCACTTGTTTCAAATTCAAAGAAACGTTGAACGTGCTTGGTACTTCCTTTGGGAGTACCCTTGTAAACCTGCCACCAGACCGGTCCGCATCTACGTCATAGAGCATCTCTATGCATTAATGGACTAGATGCAAACAAATATCAAATGTTCTTTGGGGCCAACAATGTACAGATATTTGCCGAGACCGCTACCATCTTCATAAGCTCTCGACCGGTGAATTCGAAGTCATCTACAGAGTCCGGTGAGAGTCGAGTCATCTACAGAGTTTATGAGAACCACGTCTCTCAGGTACAGTTTTATTCTGATTATTGTAGCCGGCTTAGCTCCCTTTGTCCGATACCATTGAAACGCACAATCTTGAGGCTTTACTTCGGCTCAAATAATCTATGCAAGTTCTAATAAGATTTCCTTAT